AATCTATATCTAAAGGTTTATTATTACAAGAAAGAAAAGCATGAGAGTAAGGTTATTAAAGTACAGTACGTTACATGCACCGAATCTCCCAGTCCTCGATGCAGGCTCTAGCAGAGATGTTGCAGCTGCTGGTTTAAAAGTTCTTATTGCACATCCTACGATCAGGATGGGTTCACAGGTCTTCCGGGCTCTTCAATCCCTTCAATGCTGCCTCTGGGATGAAGTGCTGAGCTGAGAACAAAATGGCATCGACCACATGGCCTCTTTATACTCCTTCCCGGCCTCTTCTTGTATGTAGCAGGTCACCTGGTCCTCAGCCTCGCTCTGCTGGCAGCTCTTGGGTCTCTGCCCTCCTGCTTTAGGTGTGTCCTTGGCCCATCAAGTGCCATTGTCCCACAGGGCCTCGCTAATCATCCTGTCCATAGCCATGCTCAACCACATTCACAGAAATATTCAGCTTCCACACAGATTACAGATTCCTACCTACACACATAGACATTATACACTCACATAAATAGCGTACATAAGATCAACAAACAATAATCTCCCATTCAATACCCCACACGGCTCCCCCCACACCAATTTCTGGGGCCAACACCCCCACCTAGGGGTGCAGCAGCGATCTGGCTGCTTCCCTCCAATTCAGCAACGTAACACCGCAGCACCACAGCAAACCAGAATTCCTCCCCCCCCCCAAAAAAAAGACAAACTTACTAAGAAAACAATCAGGCAGCTTGGTCCGCACAGTTTGTGTGGCATAGTCACCCTTGGGAAGACATGCCAGGCTCTCCTCAGGACAAGAGATGTGGAAAATGCTGGAATTCTATGCTAGCCTCTGATGCCCACAATGAATATATACACTCTTTGCGGGGGACACATGTACCACAAAAATGTGTCCATTGCCACAGCTTGACAGTGAGAGCTCGCAAAGGAAGAGCTCACAGCCTGCATGCTGTCCATTGACAAAGCCCTTGACCCCCATAGCTATAAAGGGGGCAATAAGGGCTTGAGTGCAAAATCTCCTCAGGGCAATCCCTCTAGCCCTTTACCTCAGAAAGCATGGGCAAGAACCAGACCCTCAGCAGCCTGCTTTCTCCCCTCAAGAATCAGTAAAGGAGATGAACCGGGTTGGGCATGGAGAAATCTCAAGCCTCCTCAATGACAGGCTCAAAAACACACTTCAAGCAGGTGGTGAAACCAGCTGTCCAGTCATCAAAAAGGGTACTTGCTAAGGGCCCTGATATCACAGAGGCATTAATGGCTCCCAGAGTGCCACAGAAGTACTCAGTATCCCCAGCGCAGCATGAACTCCCTGTACAATCTCCACCACGAGTGCTGGGAGGTGATAGGACTAGTCCCAGCTGTCCTCCATGCTAACCATATATCCCCTGGGGATCCATGGCATCCATACCAACACCACCAGAGGTGCCGGTGCGCACAGCCGAGGGTCGCAAGTTGTCATCCCACAGCCGTTCCCCAGTATGCAAAATGCAAGCACCACCTAGACAGGACAGGAGGGCCCTCCCTCCCCCCTAGCCTTTGGCACAGCATCGCTCCTGCTCCTCACTATCAAATCAGGGCTCACCATGTTCCACCCACCTTATCACAAATCAGTGGCTATCACAGAGGTACAAGGAGTATGTTCTTCTCCCAACACTCCTCCCCAGAGAGAGCACACTCACCTTATGGGACATACGGGTTACGACATTATCAGTATCCTCCATGGCACCCTGATTAGTGGTATTATGACAGGCATCATAGCCAGTGGTCCCCCTATCCCTACGGGTCACCAAGGCATACCTCCACTGCCCCTCCTACACCTGCACAGAGGTCTTTGCCCTCTATACATTCAGATCCATCACAGTACCCATCCGAGGACATGGATCTAGACTAGAGGAAGGGCAGATTTTGAGAGTGACCCAATGTCCAGCAATCAGACATACCACCCGATGATAACTCCTCCTCTGCTCCTGATGAGGTGGTTATCCCAAATGATCCAACACCTAGTGATGACCGTAAACAATTCCAGGACTTATTTAAAAGAGTAGCTATCAGCCAGGAAATAGTCTTATCAGAGGTGCAGGAAAAACACCATAAGCTTCTAAAGAACCTACAGCCATCTGCAAAATCCAAAATTTCCCTGCCTTCAGATGAAGCAATTCTTGAGGCAGCTGACGAAGTATGACAAACCCCAGCCATAACCCCCGTGACCAACAAAAGAGCCGATAGAAAGTATTTTGTCCCATCAAAGAGCATGGACTTCCTGTACCTACACCCTCAACCTAATTCCTTAGTGGTTGATGCCATGAACCAAAGGTCCAAAAAATCCTCAGCACAAGGCTCATACACAGGACAAAGACCACAAATACCTTGATGTCTTTGGGTGGAAGATGTACTCCTCCTCAACCCTGCAGTTTTGCATAGCCAACTACACAGCTCTACGTGCGAATTGTGATTTTGATAATTACACCAAACAGAGCTCATGCATAATATTTCAGAGGACAAATGACCTATCCTCAAGGCGATCATTAAAGAGGGATATACTATATCCCACACAGCATTACAAATGGCCCTTGATACCACAGATACAGTGGCAAGAGCTACTGCGACATCAGTAGTAATGAGACGTGCCTCGTGGCTGCAAGCAGCAGCAGTCCCTAAAGACCTCCAGGCCTAAGTAGAGGATCTGCCATTCGATAAGGTCAAACTATTTGCGGCAGGTACCAGTGAGGCCTTGCACGCTAACAAAGATTCACACACTACCTTGCACACATTGGGGATGTACACTCCACCCCACCAAAGGAAGTGATATGCACCTTATTAGAGGCATAGAGCACCTGCCTTTGCTAAACAACAACAGTACCGACCTTTCAAACAGAACCACTTCCAACCAATACATCAATGTAGAAGAGCTCCAAACAACATCTCTTCTTCGAGTGGTCCCCGTGGGTGCTCCACTGCTAGAGTCGGGCTCATCTTGGCACCACGGATCAGAGACTTGCCATAGCCGTGTTCAGCCGGACCGTGTATGCACGCCTTTCATCCATTGTGCACAGTCCGGCCCCAGCCCAGTTCCTCTTAACCGCCCTTGGTCACAGACGGAGCTCCCTCATCTCACAGCGTTCCTCAAAAGTATCTGTAAATAGTCAATAAGTTAATAATAGTTATTATTTTAGTCTGTTCTTGTTATACTTCATGTTCTAGTTTAAAAAAAACACAGTTAAGTAGTTTAGTTGTTGCAACCTAACTGCCTCAAAAACAAACAAACAAAATGAAAAAACCAAAAGAAAGAAGACAAGCGAAGGATTTAACCATCTCTGCTAAAATGCCTGGATTTCCAGGTCTTAAAAAGTGTAGTGTTTGCTGCGAAGCCATGCCAGCTTCAGATGGACATGCGGCGTGTATTAGGTGCTTTGGTGAGGCACATGTGCAACAAAAATGCACCCACTGTTGTAAACTGACTGCCAGAACTCGAAGAGATCGAGAAATGTGCCTTAAAATGATTGTTTGATAAGGTGCTTCAACCTTCCGATGTCCCTGCTTCTGCTACTGCACAAAAACGCTGGGCGTCTTCTCCCGGGACCACCATTTCAAAGAAAATAAGGACGTCCCCAACTCGGTCCCTACCAGCCACTCCAATCAGTAGAGTGAGCTTAGGGGATAGACCTAGCACATCTGGGACAGTCACCTCTGGGTCTCAGAAGACGCTGGGAGTTAAGCCCAGAAAACTCTCTCCTGGCACCGAAGGCACGATCACCGTCGGCACCAGAAAAGCCATTAACAAAAACAACCGTGCCAGAGGCACCGACATTCTCGGCACCGGCCTCGACAACATCAGCACTGACACTCTCGGCACCAATGATGACGCCAGCACCACCCACTACACAGGCACTTAGGGCGTCGCCGACACCGGTAGAATTGGAATCGGCACCGCACTCCCTGGCACCAATGGGAGACAACAACACCGCGCCACCAAGAAAGGCTGCCACAAAGACGCACTTGTGTCTCAGCCCTCAGTCTCCTTCCCTGACTTTCTCCCCGGAACCGTCTCCCTCCTCGCTACCACGGCAATCTCCAGTGCCCATCAGACGAGAGCATAGGGATCACGTGTTCCCCTCAGCGCAGCCCACCATCTCCATGCTCTGGTTGGGTCATATTTGTTCATTTTTTTTTAATTGTATCCTTTGGTATATATGGTTGTGACTACTTTCTTCCACTATTTGATCTGAGGAAGTGGGTCTGGCCCACGAAAGCTCATCATCTAATAAACCATCTTGTTAGTCTTTAAAGTGCTACATTGTCCTGCATTTTACCTTCTAAAGCTTAGGCTTGTGAATCCCTGATCAGAATGCACATAATCAAGCATTCAAAGAAGAAAAAATAATTACTCACCTTTCATAACGGTTGTTCTTCAAGATGTTTTCATGTCCATTCCAATACTGGCAAGAAGGAACTGAGGAGTTGGTAGGTCAGCAAAGCTATATATCGAGTGCCATATTGGCAGCACTTCAGGGGGTACCTAGGCTGACCCAATAGTTGCTGCTAGGCAAAACTCTTCTGGCTCCTGTGTATGTGCGCATGCACACCTCATTACGATGCACATGAACCACATATCTTGAACAGTTACGAAAAGTGAATAACTGTTTTGTCCAGGCTCTTGCTTCTACGCCACTAGCACACACTCCCCTCGCAGAGCCTTGCAGGCTATTGCTTGGTGGGTGGATATGAGCTGGACAGTTGCTGGCTGGTGGGAAAGGCTGGGAGGATGCCGGACACATGCTCGTTAGGAGGGGCCAGGTGCTGAGATGTCATTGGTGGCTGGATGGGTGCCAGACAGGCATATCCGAGTTCTCAGTCCAGTGAAATGTCCATTGGCCCACTGCAAGTGCTGGCCCTTGGGTGGGGCTGTGCCCCTGGACTTATCCCATGGAACCACAGGCCCCCTGCTGCCCCTGAGCTGGGGTCCTGCCCAGCCTCACCAATGCTCTGTGCTGCTCTAGACCACCTCCAACAATGTGCAGAACATCATTGAGAGCCGCGTGGAGAAGAGGACCAAGGGTGTGTATGTGCCCGTGGGAGGCAAAAGCATGATCACCTTCATGGACGACCTGAACATGCCGGCCAAAGATGCCTTCGGCTCCCAGCCCCCACTGGAGCTGCTGCGCCTCTGGATTGATTACGGCTTCTGGTATGACCGCGAGAAGCAAACCATCAAATACATCAAGGTAGGAGCCTGCCTGCAGTTTTCCCTGCCCCTGCCTGGTTCTCCCACAGGGTGGGTGAGTGATCCCAAGCTGTTCTCTGGCGGCCAAGTGCAACCCAGCTCCCAGAGGCACTTGAGTTGTGCCAACCCTAGCCCCCACAGTGCCACGTCAGGCTCCCTGCCCCAGGAGAGGGGGACTCTTGGGTTAGCAGGGATCTCGTTACGTAATTCAGCCATTTAGACAGCTACCCTGCTTCTCCACAAGAACCTCCACCCTTCCTTCTACTGCCTTCAGCATGGAGTCAGGGGAGCTGAAGTCCATGCAGGACCGGGGAGCTGGCAGTGCCAGGGTCCCTGTGGGATGGGGGAGATGGGATCCCTATGGGCTTGCTAGGGTTGGAGGTGATGAAGCTGGGGTCCAGTGGTCCAGCCAGGGCACACTGGGAGAGCTGACCGAGGCATGCTGGTGAAGCCAAGGTCCCTGTGGGTTGGCCGGGGCATGGCAGAGGAACCAGGGTCTCCGCAGGGAGAAGGTGGTGGAACTGGGATCCCTGGGGGGCAGCTGGGGCACACTGGTGGAGCTGGGGTCCCTGCAGGGTGGCTGTAGGGGAAGTAGCAGAGTGAAGGTCCCTGCAGGGTGGCCATGGGAGGAGGGTGTGTGTGGTAGAGCTGGGATCCCTGCAGGGCAGTTGAAGGGAAGATGGTGGAGCCAGGGTCCCTGCAGGCTGGATCAAAGAGCAGCACTTTGCTCTCCAGTCCAATTTACTAGATGGCTGGATTCCAAGCCAGGTAGAAATGATGGCCATGCAGTCTGCCCCCAGCCTGGCACATGCCAGAGAACTGCCCCAGCACTGCCTGGGGGCAAGAGGAGAGGGAATGACCAAGGTGTGAGGTTGGCTTTGTCTCCCAGCTCCAGTTTGTTGCACACCACAGCAGACATTAGCTTGACCCTGTCTCGGAGGCCTTGCACTCTTCAGCTCCCTCTGGATAGTGCAGATGTCTTGCCGCTGGTGCAGGGGAGAAGAAAGGCCTCAGTTGGCTTTTGGATTGAACAGCACCTTTTTGTCTCCCCTCAGGACATGTTCCTCATGACAGCCATGGGCCCTCCAGGGGGAGGCCGAACTGTGATATCTGGCCGACTTCAGAGCAGGTTCAACCTCATCAATATGACCTTCCCCACGGTAAGGGCGGCTTAGACATGCTGGGTCCAACAGAATCAGAGCTGGAGATGCTCCTTTGCCCACCTTGGGTTCTTCCTCGCCCAGTGTCTGCCAGCAGGACACACTGGGTATTTCTAGACTACATGGCTCCATCGACGGAGTCATGTAGTTTAGTTTACTAGACATAGGAAAATGAAGCGGCGCTTTAAATAATCGCCGCTTCATTTTCCTATGTCTAGTAAACTAATCTACATGGCTCCGTCGACGGAGCCATGTAGATTAGTTCACTAGACATAGGAAAATGAAGCGGCGCTTTAAATAATCGCCGCTTCATTTTCCTATGTCTAGTAAACTAAACTACATGACTCCGTCGATGGAGCCATGTAGTCTAGACATACCCACTGTGTCCTAGGCACCATTACTTCTCTGCACCCCTCCTAGGACAGTTGAGTGCCAGGCATTGTGCCAAGCCTCCACCTGCTGGCCCCTGAGATGCCAGACCCACCGTTGTAGTCAGCAACTTCAGCATGAAGGCTGCATCCCCTTTTCTTCTGCCCCAAGAGTGGGGGTGGTGGGCTCATAAGCTGCCAGTACCTGCCATGGGGCTCCGCTAGGTACTGCTTGCGCCATCCTGCAGGAGCCACAGATCCGGTGCATCTTCGGCACCATGCTCAACCAGAAGCTGCAGAACTTTGAGGAGGGGGTGAAGCCACTGGGCAACGTAGTCACCGAGGCCACAATTGAGCTGTACCATGCCGTGGTGCAGAAATTCTTGCCTACGCCTGCCAAGATCCACTACCTCTTCAACCTGCGCGACATCTCCAAGGTACCCATCCGGCCTAGGCCCTGCTTCTCCCCAGCTCGGAGCCCAGTGCTCGGTCTGCACCTAGCTCGGAGCCCAGTACCCAGCTCGGTGCTCTGCTCGGAGCCCGGTGCTTGACCTGCACCCTACTCTCCCCCTGGATCAGAGCCCAGTGTCCAGTCTGTGCCCTGCTATGAGCCCAGCTTGGCGCCCTGCTCCCCCCGGGTCAAATCCTGATGCTTGGCCTGCATCCAACTCACCCCCTAGGTCAGGGCCCAGTGCTCCCTGCTTGCAGCCCAGGACTTGGCCTGATAACATGCTCTGAGCCCAATGCCCAGCCTGGGCCCTGCTCATGCTCCCCTGGGTCAGAGCTTGGTACCTGGCCTGTGTCCCACTTGCCTTCTTGGGTCAGATCCTGGTGCCTGGCCTGCAGTCCCCCAGGAGGTGCTAGGGACCTCCACTCAAAGAATCTGCTGTGTCCATGTGTTGGGGTAGGGAATGCAGAAAGCCCCTTGTATGAGTGGGACTGGTGCAGTGAAAAGTTCAGCAGTGTTGGCTCATTCTGCATGGGTCAGCCAAGGGTGGTGGGTTCTCCAGAGCTGCTACCCCACGCATCACATGGGAAGGGCCCTTTGGCAGGGAAATCAAACACCAGATGCTGCCAGTGTTGGTGCCCAGTTCCAGCCCCGCAGTGTGCTTTGCACAACAGGTCTCCTTGGGCCCGTTGCCATGGCAGCCGCATGCAGCCAGTGTATTGCAGGTTGGGATCCAGACCAGAGGTCTGCAGAACCGGCTGACTCAGTGGGAGGGGAATGAGGCAGAGGTCCCTTTTGTTTCTGGACTTGCACTGGGGGAAGGGGCTGGTCTAGGCTAGTGACAGGGGGAGGGAGTGTAGATTTTTCCCCAGCACATAGACCATCCCCATTCCCAGTAGCCGTGCCATGGCAAGTCATGCAGCAGGGGCTCAGGCTCTCCCCTTACACAGGTGTTCCAGGGCATGCTGCGAGCAAACAAGGATTTCCACGATACGAAGCCCAGCCTTACCCGCCTGTGGGTTCATGAGTGCTTCAGGTATGGCCCTTGTCTCCCAGAGCATGACAGGGTGGGCATAGCCCCCTGCCAACAGTCACCTTCCTTCCCCCACGGCCAGCCATGCTGCACTCACCTCCACCCTATTGGCACTACTAGCCCCTGGCCAGCAGGCACCTTCCTTCCCCCCAGAGCTGGCCAAGTTGCACCCACTTCCACCCCATGGGCACTGTCAGTAATGTTCCCTCTAATTTTTCCATCTATATGCAGAATAAATTTTGTTATGTGCACTGAGGCATGTGTTGATGTGCACCACTAGTAGAAACACATGCTGTCAGATGTGGGCACTCTATTAATCAACTGGGCAGCACCTGAATCTCTCCTGGATGATCACTCAAGTGCACAGCTTACCAGGAACTCTGACTGCCAGTCTTGTGCCATTGAGTGCCTTTCCTTCCTACACGTTGTGCCCCACCTGTAGCCCTTCTCCACTCAAACACAATAGCTTCCTGGCTGAAGGGAAACCTTTGTGCTCCCTGTGAATTCCATGGACCCTCATGCAGCATCGAGGGTTAGCCTATATCCCCTGTCGCCCCTGTTCCCTGCACGTGGGATTGGCCCCTCCCTGCTAATGGTGTGGGGTAACCCTAGATAGCGAGTCCAGCCCCCTCTCCTCTTGACAGGGTCTTCTCCGACCGTCTGGTGGACTCGCCTGACAAGGAAGCCTTCATTGCCATTCTGAGTGAGAAGCTGGGCTCCTTCTTCGACCTGACCTTCCACAACCTCTGCCCCAGCAAGTGCCCACCTATTTTCGGTGCGTGCCATGGACGCGTGCCACAGGCTATGCAGTCACTAGGGCCAGGATACCTGAGGTCTCTCCCTGGCTCAGGGAATTGAATGAGGCTAGTGGTTAGAGTGGGAGATTGGGAGACAGGACTCTTGGGTTCTCTCCCCAGTTCCGGGAGGGGAGTGGAGGCTGGTGGTTGGAGCTAGGGGGCTGGGAGTCAGGACTTTTGGGTTCTCATCTTGGCTCAGGAAGGGCAGGGGGGTGCAGTGGTTAGAACAGGACTGAGGCCTAGGAGCCAGAACTCTCCGGGTCTGTGCTGAGCTAGATTCCAAAAGGGAGCACTCAGCCCTTCTCTTGGCTGCTTGCCAGGGGACTTCATGCGCGAGCCACGGGTCTATGAGGACTTGGTAGACCTGTCAGCCCTGAAGTTAGAGATGGAGCGGGCGCTGGAGGAATACAACCAGACGCCTGGCGTGGTGCAGATGCAGCTCGTGCTCTTCAGAGATGCCATCGAACACAGTGAGTAGCACCCACTCGATTGTGGCCTCTTGCAAGGCTCTTCACTGCTGCTATGTCTCCATAGACCCCGGGGGTCAGTTACTGCCAGGTGTGGTAGGAGGCTTCCACGCTTTGTCCATGCCACGGCCCTTAGCAGGGGCACTGGCTCCAGATCAGAATCTGCTTTGTCCCTGTGAGAACCGAGACTGAGCTTCACATGCCCAAGCAGGCCGGGTAGCCTTCCTAATGGGGAACCATGGCGTGCTGTGCAGGTCACATTACAGGAGTCCTGGTCCCTGGCTCTGTGAGATCTCTGAGGTCAGTCTGTTCCAGCTTGCCTGGCACACACACATGACATGAAGGGTGTGGCTTCTGGCTTTCAATGAATACTGGAGCCAAGCAGTAGGCCCTGTAGTCTGTCTCTGGGACTAAATAAGGGGCCAGCCAGATGCCTGCTGTAGCCCCAGGGTGTCCCCTTCTGACCAGCGACTCACCCCTGCAGTTACCCGGATTGTGCGGGTGATTGGCCAGCCCCGTGGGAACATGCTGCTGGTGGGCATTGGAGGTAGTGGGCGCCAGAGCCTGGCACGCCTGGCCTCCTCTATCTGCGAGGACGAGACCTTCCAGATCGAGGTGACCAAGCACTACCGCAAGCAGGAGTTCAGGGATGGTGAGTGCCCTGGTCAAGGAGACCTCTCCCCCCCCGCCCCAGGCCCTGCAAGGTCAATTCCCTGGAGCTCACAGCCCCTGCCTTTCCCCCCAGACATCAAGAAGTTGTACCGACAACCTTCCTCTTTGTGGACACGCAGATCATGGATGACTCCTTCCTGGAGGACATCAACAACATCCTCAGCTCCGGGGAGGTGCCCAACCTCTACAAGGCTGATGAGTTTGAGGAGGTGAGCACCTGCATCTGCTCTGGGCTGAGGGCACCAAGGGCAAGGGGCCTCCCTGCAATAGCTCCACTACAGAACTGCAGCTCAGGGCCTCTACTCAAGCCTGACCCACAGCCCCTGCTAGCCCAGCCCTGGGCTGTGCTGCTGGTGCCTCTCCTGACCCACTGCCCCTGCTAGACTGGTCCTGGACTCCTACGCAGGGCTGTGGCTGATGTGCAACTTTGCCCTGTCTCCCCCATCATCCAAGCAGTACGGAGCTGCATGGCCAGCACATGGGGCTGAAGGGCTGATCACAGGGGCTAGCAGAGAATGGGAAGCCCTAGGCCCGGCAGGGAGCAGTTCCAGGGACTCTGTGCCCAGCTGGAGGCACTTTGCTTTTGTCCCAGATCCAGTCCGTGATCCTTGATGCAGCCCGGGCTGACGGTATCCCTGAGGTGGCTGACAGCCTCTTTGGTTACCTGATCGAGAGGGTGCGCAACAACCTGCATGTGGTGCTCTGCCTCAGCCCCATCGGGGAGCCCTTCAGGTGAGGGATGGGAGCTGCTCCTAGTGTACTGGCCACGGCCCTGCCTGGTGCTATTGTGCCCTCTGGTGGGCAATTCTGGACCTGCCAGCAGACGGGCTAAAGGACAGGTGAAGGAGCACAGCTGAGAGCTGCTCAGCTGGGGAGTGGGAGCTGGAGGAAGGGCAGTAGGGTGAGGGAGTCAGAAATGGGAGCAGGGATGGGGGTGGGGTGGAAGCAGGGCAGAGATTAGGAGTGGGAGAGGTGGGGAAGAGATGAGTCAGTGTAGGAGCAGTGGAGGGATTAGAAGAGAAATGGGGTGGAGGTGGGAGGAGGCAGGAGCAGGGCGGGGGGGCACACTTGGAAGTGGGGCAGGAGCAAGGCAGAGATTAGAAGTGGGAAAGAGATAGGGTAGAATGGGAGCAGGGTAGGCATAGAAGGCAGGATGGAAGGGGGATACATATGGGGGGCAGGGTGGGAGAAGGCAACGTGAAGGGCCATACTCAGGTTGGTGCCCTTGGCCGTTCAGGAATTGGATTCGTCAGTACCCAGCACTGGTGAACTGCACCACCATCGACTGGTTCTCAGAGTGGCCACGCCAGGCGCTGCTGGAGGTAGCAGAGAAGTATCTCGAGGGCGTGGACTTAGGGAACCTGCCAAAGGTGAGAGCCGCAGCCCAGCCCCCGCGGCCCGGGGGCTGTTTTGGAGGAGGCATTCTTGCAGTCAGTGCTGGCCACTGCCCAGGGGAGACCCCCACAAGCTGCCGGCCTGGTGCGGAATCATGGTCTTGGCCGCATGCCTGTCAGAGGGGTTCTGTTCTGCTTCCCAAACTCTGCTAGGTGCAGGGTTCTCTGGCTATGCTATACTTAGCTGCTGTGTCCCTCCCAAGAGCCAGTTGCATCTCTATGCTCGCATTCTTGCAGTCAGTGCTGGCCACTGCCCAGGGGAGACCCCCACAAGCTGCCGGCCTGGTGCGGAATCATGGTCTTGGCCGCATGCCTGTCAGAGGGGTTCTGTTCTGCTTCCCAAACTCTGCTAGGTGCAGGGTTCTCTGGCTATGCTATACTTAGCTGCTGTGTCCCTCCCAAGAGCCAGTTGCATCTCTATGCTCTCTGCAGACACATGGGTTACTGCAAAGCTGGCTGCATCCCATCTCCCCTTGAGCAAGGCTGGGCCTCTGTTAAGCGTCCTCTCCCTACCACTGACCCAGCTCTATCTGCTCCCCCAGATCCACAAGAAAGTGGCGAGGATTTTTGTGACCATGCACTGGTCTGTGGCCTCATACTCACAGAAGATGCTTCTGGAGCTCCGGCGCCATAACTACGTCACTCCCACCAACTACCTGGAGCTGGTATCAGGCTATAAAAAGTGAGAACCCTCCCTCCACTCCTGGGTGGCCACTGGCGTTACAGACCCTGGGCTGGGGGTGGTGAGGAGAATGGTGTAGTTTCCCACAGGCAGCCGCTGGGGCTATGGACACTGAGCCAGAGGAGTTGGGAGTGGAGGGATGTCCCAAGGGCAGGGCTGGGGAGCCAAGGGTAGGACCAGGGAAGCCAAGAAATGTCTACCCCAGAGGGGATGGGAACAGAGGAGCAGGCTTCCTGAAGGCAGGGCTGCAGGAGCTGACGGCAGGGCCGTGGGATTGTCCTATCCCAGAGAGGAAGGGAACAGAGGGGTTCTGCCCACGTGCGGAAGGAGTAAAGGCTGGTCAGATCCTCTGTCTGGGGGCTGGGCCGGGCCCCAGAAGCAGTGGGAAAAAGGGGTTCTCATGACAAATGGCATTTCAGCTCCCAGTGGGCACCATGCTGGCTCATGGGAGATGGATGTTAGGAATCTCATACTCCAGCCTCTTCTCCAGGACAGACTCACTGGCCAGACTCCATCTCTCATCAGTCATTGCTTTCTTCTGTTTGGGGAAAGATGGGGCTGTGTTGCTGGTGCATCATGGAGGATGTAGTTCTTCAGAGTGCCCAGCCCACCCGGTCCTTTTGGGGGGGCACCAGGGCAGCCTCCCTGAGTAGGGCCCAGCCAGCATCTTCCCACAGGCTCTTGGCAGAGAAGCGCAAGGAACTCTCAGACCAGGCCAACAAGCTGCGCAATGGGCTCTTCAAGATAGATGAGACACGCTGCAAGGTGGAGGTGATGTCGCTGGAGCTGGAGGACGCCAAGAAGAAGGTGGCGGAATTCCAGAAGCAGTGCGAGGAGTACTTGGTCATCATCGTGCAGCAGAAGAGAGAGGCCGATGAGCAGCAGAAGGTGAGTGGAGCTGGGCTTGGATCTGGGAGTGAACTGATGGGCATGAGGGGCCCAGATCTGGGCAGAGGCCGATGGGTGTGGAGAGTGCACAGATCTGGCCGTGGGCTGAAAAGCGTGGGGATCCCAGATCTGGGCATGAGCTGATGGATTTGGGAGGTTCCAGATCTGGGTTGACAGACATGGGGTGTGCCCAGAACTGAGCGCTGGGCTAGTGGGTGCAGGGGGTACCTCCAATCAGGTGCTGGGTGGATGAGTGCAGGGAGCCCAGGGCTGGGCTAGGATCTGAATACTGGACTGACAAGCACAGAAAGATCCCACTTTGGATGCCAGGCTGACAGATTTGTGGGGTCTAGGTTGGGGTCACATTTGGGCGCTGGGCTGATGGGCATAGAGGAGCCCCAATCTGGACCTGGGGCATAGCTTGGATCCAGATGCAGGCTGGTGGGTGTGGGACTCGGATTCAGATGAGGGGTAAGGGTGTGGGGCAAGAACGGTGGAAGGAGGGGAAATTGGGCAAAGTCCCCACCCCGGGGTGCCCTGGTGGAAGGATTCCCCAGCCCTGCCTGGCCGGCTCTTCTCACAGACGGTGGGTGCTAACAGTGAAAAGATTGCTGCTGAGGAGATCAAGTGCAAGGCGCTGGCTGACAATGCCCAGAAGGACCTGGAAGAGGCGCTGCCTGCCCTGGAAGAGGCTATGAAGGTAATGAGCCATGCAGTCCCCCCGGACTAGGACCTCTGGGGAGTAGAGAGGATCTTCACCGGAGGGATTCACTGCACTCACCCCCGAATCCTTGCCCCACAGCCCCCCAGGGATCAGGAATCATTGTACAGTGCAAGCCAGAGACACAGCTAGCGGCAGCAGTATCCATCACATGTCCTAGCTAGTGGGGGGCAGGCTGTGACTGTATATAATTGGGCCTGTTGGTCTGATCCTCGGACAAGGAGGGGGCAGAATATGTGGCTGGATGGGCCCATGGGTCTCAGCCAGGGGCAGAGAGGAGGTGGGATACCAGAGTAGATGGACCCATGGGTCTGATGTAGGAAGGAGGGAGGAGGCGGGATACTGCGCTAGATGCGGGCTGGCTGGCTCGTGAGTCTCTGGGGGATCATTCCATTTCTCTGGTGAGTCCCCACTTGCATACTGGGGTGAGAGTTCTGGAACTGTGCCAAAGGCTGCATTGTTCTGTTAGTGGTGCCATGAAGCATCCTGGTGAGGGCCTGTCCACTCTAGTGGCTCCCCAACCTGTCCTGGCTCCTTCCCTCACTTGCCCAGGCCCTGGAGTCACTCAACAAGAAGGATATGACAGAGATCAAGTCCTACGGGCGCCCGCCCACCCTGGTGGAGACGGTGATGCAGGCCGTCATGATCCTGCGCGGCAATGAGCCAACCTGGGCAGAAGCAAAGAGGCAGCTGGGTGAGGCATGAGGAGAGGGAGGGGATTGGGCTGAGGAAGAGGAACTTGAGGCTGTCAGGAGAACTAAGGGTGCAGTCTGTGGGCAAGAGAGCAGTGCTTAGGATGAAGGCAGCGGTGCGGGAGAGATGCCAGCTGGTGCTTGGCTGGGGGACAGAGGACATGGCAGAAGGTGGGGTGCGCACCTTCTCTTGCTTCTCCATCTGCAGTGGGAACAGCAAGAGGGGTGCTGGGCCTCCTGCAGGTCAGTGCCAAGGGGGACATACCCAGCTTATGCCAGTCCCTTGGCCCCATCCCTTTGTGATCTTGGTGCCCCTCCAGGTGAACCTACCTTCATCAAACAGCTGATCAACTTTGACAAGGACAACATCTCAGACAAGGTGCTGAAGAAGATCAGTGGGTACTGCTCCCAGCCGGACTTCCAGCCCGATATCATCGGGCGTGTCTCACTGGCCGCCAAGTCCCTCTGTATGTGGGTGCGAGCAATGGAGGTGAGGGGCTGGATGCCCACCACAGGACAGGGGAAAGAGCCAGGGAGAGGAAGGGGCAGGCACCATCCGTGGGTAGAGGGAGGGAGCCATGGAAGGGAGACTGGATGCTGGTCATGGGCAGGTGGAGGAACACAGGGAGGTGGCAGATGGAGAATGCCAGACTGGGGAAGGGAAGAGCAAAGTTGGCAAGGTGTTGGCAGGAAGAGGGGTGTGAATGAAAACGGGAGATGAGAAAGAGATAAAAAAGCAAATGCCAGCCTAACACAAGGCTGGGAGCCAGGACTCCTAGATTCTCTCCCCAGCTCTAGGAGGCGAGTGGGGGCTGGAGGGCTAGAAAAGGGGGCAGGGTGCCAGGACTCCAGGGGTCTCACTCTGGCTCTGGGAGGAGGGCGCTGAGAGCCAGGATGCCCAGGTTCTGTTCTCCCCGAGGAAGCAGCACTGTTGTGCAGAGAGCTCACCACTGACTGCTCCCCCAGATGTACGGCCGGATTTACCGCGTGGTGGAGCCCAAGCGTGCCCGTATGAATGCAGCCATGGCCCAGCTGGCTGAGAAGCAGGCATCCCAGGCGGAGGCACAGGAGAAGTTGCGGGAGGTCTGTCTGCCTGGGGATTGGAGGGTCTGAAGGAGGGGAGATGCTGGGCTTGCTTGTGCCCCCCACAGGAAGAGCTCATTTGGGTTGCCCACGGGTGTCACCAGTGCTCTGGCCAGGCACTGATCCTGTCACTTGCCATGGCTCTGTTCTGCCTCACTAGACCCGCAGGCTGGTGGTGGGAGCCCAGCCCTGGGGCAGCAGGCCTGCAGGGGGAGCCATGTCCAGGGTCCACAAGCCAGAGGGGAGCCCAGCATAGGCCAGACAGATGGGCTTATGGCTCTGGTTGCCTGCCTCAGGTGGCAGAGAAGCTGGAGCGGCTGAAGCAGGAGTATGAGGAGAAGCTGGTGCAGAAGGAGGACCTGCGCAAGAGGTCGGAGGAGATGGAGATCAAGCTGGACCGGGCTGACAAGCTGGTGTCCGGGTTGGCTGGGGAGAAGGCACGCTGGGAAGAGACTGTGCAGGTAGGTGAGCCGGGCGGATCCTGGAGAGTGTCAGAAGTGGGGCTCTGGCAGGCAGGGAACAGTCATCCTGGGATGATCTGGGCAGGAATCTGTGGGTGGGGAGTTAGGCAGGGAGTAGCCAGGAGTGTCTAAGGGGAAGGGCCTGGGGCAGGTAACAGCCAGATGGAGGGTATCTAAGAGTTTGGGCAGAGAGCAGCCAGGTGTTGACAGGTGTGCTTTGGTGGGATGCTGCGAGAGTATCTAATTCAGGGCGAGCTGCTGAGAAACAGGTCAGCCAGAGCCCCAGACTCGGAGCCTTCCTCTTACTAGGCTCCCCAAACAAGATACAAAGAGCATATGTATCTCACCACGCTGGCCAACAAAAGCAATACTCTCAGTCCAGTTCCCCTGCATTCCCCCGGAACACTGCTTATATGGAGGAGTCATTATGAAAACCTGTCTCACCAAATAAAAGATTCTTATGATCCCAAAAGACCAGCCACACACCCAGATCAATAGAAAACTCAGCCCTTACCCAGCAATCACACTGCCACCAATCCTTCAGAGTCTAAAATCTAAAGAGTTACTCATAAAATAAAGAGAATTAAAATTGATCAAAGAAACCATATATGTGCACCAATTGCAAAGCCCTTGGTGCAGGCTGGTAGCAGTGATGGAATAAACTGCTGGATCAAGGTACATCTATGGTTACTTCCAACTCCTTGGGCAGCCCTCAACCTGTTTTAGCTGGCTCTCTTTGGTGTGAGGCTGGAGACATAGGGTATGTCTACACTGCAAAGTTAGTTCGAACTAACAGACGTTAGTTTGAACTAACTTTCCTAGGCGCTACACTAGCGCTCCGTTAGTTCGAACTTAATTCGAACTAACGGAGCGCTTAGTTCGAACTAGGTAAACCTCATTTTACGAGGATTAAGCCTAGTTCGAACTAGCTAGTTCGAATTAAGGGCTGTGTAGACCCTTAATTCGAACTAGTGGGAGGCTAAGGCTTCCCAGGTTTCCCTGGTGGCCACTCTGGCCAACACCAGGGAAACTCTATTGCCCCCCTCCCGGCCCCGGAGCCCTTAAAGGGCCACGGGCT